GATAAGTTCCTTTTTGACTTGCTCCCATTTCGCATTGTATTCATTTTTATACGTGTCGCAACCATGTTAAAAACTTCTATGCACACACATTCACCTTCTGATTTGTATTATGGCTATCGTCACCTGTGCACTAATACAGTCCTGGCATGCGCGGAATGATACCTCGGAGCGGGAGCGAACAAGGCACTTTCCCGCGATAGATGAATTACTCACGCTTCCTAGGTTACGCTGGTTAGGACATGTACTCCGCATGCAAGACCGTCTGCGTCGCTCTGCCCAATCCTGTGTTAAGTAGAAGCGACCGAGACGTGGACGGTGTATGACCTCGTAACGAAGTATGAAAACACTAACCAGGAAACATAGCCTGGTTGACAGATGCCGCCTCCCTGGATGGGGATCCTGGGACTCAACTCACCAACAGCTAATGACACGGCCAGAAATGGCCCATTCGCACAGTCAATGACACTCGTGCATCAAATCTATCGCCTTCAATATGTAGCTACCCAGTTGCCGGACTAGTCGAGTACGCCATCGCCTCCAAGGCTTGGTTATATGTTCCATACCCTCCCACTTCCTGGCGATCGATCCTGGCTCGTCTGAAAGCCGGCCTCAGTTTAGGTAATATGGCCTTTCCTGGAATAGATCTCTTCCACGGAAACAAACTTGCATACTCGAGCACAGTGCTCGAGTGATTTCACAACCTCGAGAGTAGTCGCTATTGTCGCGCTACTTCGTCACAGTCGTTGACAATCCAAAGTTTGAAAGAAAATCAACTTGGCTCTGAATTTCTTCAGGCTAATGTAGCTTCTGATTTTCAATCTAATTTCCTGGATTCAAAACTCAGTTTAACCAGCTGTTAAACTATTTAGGCAATGTGACCACTGGTGACGTGCTAGACTGCTCATTCTCGAACTGTCAAATGAACAAGCCTTGACCTTGGAGTTGGACCGGATGTTCTTTAAAGGTCATGCCAAACCTCGACAATCCTGCTTCCTACATCCGATTTCACCTACGTTGAATCGTCCAGTAATTTACAAACCGGGTTTGTTTGAACGTGAGACTGGAATGAATATCCCGTTTACGGCGTTCTTTAGCCGAACGTAAAGCGCATAGCTCAATTAGAGTAATACCGACAAGTGATTCACTGTGGTAACCGTGGTAAAATGGTAAAGGTAACAAAATCCCAACAATGGCAGAGGGTCCTCAGGTCAACGACTGGGGAAGCGGAGTGACGTACAACTTTTTGGCAACTCTCTAGGAGTAGCGATGTGCATCATTTTCAATATAACAGCAGCCTAGATTTGTACAAGAGAATTTGAACGGAGGTGGAATAGTAACTAGCGAAAGGAAGAATACGGTGCCTTTTAGGGCCCGCGAGGTTCCATTCATCGAAATTCGGTCAGACATCACTGTTATCGCATTAGCGTCTACGTGTGCCTCTTCGCTCGGTGGATTCCATTGGTGAGCAGCAGCTAGAAATCGGGTGCTAGAATGTTCTTTGCTAAACGAGCAGATGACACCACGAAAATCCACAAGTCTGTACATCCAGCTATGCTCCGCAATAACTTTTGGTTTGCTGTTAACGGTAATTTTTATGACTGCACTGTCGCGTTTCGATGGGATCCAGACATGAACAACAGATGACCAAGTTCGTGACGGGTTTAAAACACGTTACCACTGAACAAGACCAGTAACAAGAAAGACGTACTGAGACTTCTAGTTCGTGTTACCATGACTTCCGAAACAACTCCAGGCTTTCATTAGGAGTGTTTTGCAATCGCACTTTTCGGAGGAGAATTTCACTACATGCTTTAGGAGTTCCGGGCCGAAATCAGCTCAAAGAGTGTTAAAAATTTTCAGCGCCATGTAATTAGGAGTTTTCTTATAATCATAAGGTCAAAACACAGCGTAGTGGAACAGGCTGTTGTAATCGTTCAGCTGCAACACCTTTCGGTGCCTAGCTGAAGGGAGCACGAGGGTTGGGATACTGCCAGGTTGCCCAAGCCTAGACAGAGGAAGTCGAGGGGCAGAGATCGGGTTCGAACCACGGACCTATTGTCAGTAAATTCATGCTCTAACTTAACCACTTGGTCCATCTCGTTGTAATATGACGTTTCGATTGCCGTGAACGACCTTGCTCAAGGATATTGATTGTATAAATCCTTGAGAAAGGTCGCCCAAGGCAAACCAAACGTCGGATTGCAACAACCTGTTCCACTACGCTGTGTTTTGACTTTATAGTTGCAAAAAATTCCTCAATAGCGAGCAAAATGTATTTACATCCTAAGACAGACTACACATGTCCTATCTGGGAAACTTCAACTCTTTTAAATTGACCGTCGGTCAGGCTAGTGTCCATTCAAGGAATCCGTTCATCTTACTATGTAATAGTTTGTATGTACAGTAAACCCGCACTACATGATACAGCAGGAGTATGGGGTATTAGGCTACTGTTAGGAATGGTGNTAGGCTACTCTTAGGAATGGTGACTTTTAGAAAAAAGAATCGCCCAGATAAGCAAGCCTAACAAGGAATACTCCCGAATTCAGCTGAGTGGTTAAGGCACCAATTTATTAACCGAAATGTCCATGGTTCGAGCCTAACCTCAGTATCTCGACGGCTCCTGAGTAGGCTTAGGCAGCCTGGCAGTATCCCAGCTCTCGTGCTTCCTGCGCGTGGCATTGCAGGTAGGCACCGAAAGAGTGTTTCAGTTGGACGACTCCCGAACCGGATACACTTTATTTCGGGGAATCCTCAGAAATAAACGTGAGCTGATCACGGAGTGCGCATAAACTGGAGGAGCGAACATCGAACGCCATAACTGCGCTGCTCTAGACTAAGACTAGAACGTGTTTAAATGCTATCAATCGATCAGCAATGTGTTCGCCTGCTTCATATCTATGTCTCACTCAGGAGAGGGAATTGGCATCCAAAAGGATTTGGTCGCGTTTAACATGTGTATCTCCCAGCCAGACTATTCAGGTGCGTACCGGATCCCGATTTTATCAAGTCGATTAGAAGTATTCTGAGATCGCGCCATATAAGTGCACACTGATGCCTCCTGGAGCAAAAACATTAGCGAAGGATTTCCTTAGGGACCAATAATCCCCACCGCTTGATGGATTGTTACCGTCTGTTTCTTCCTATCTTCCTCGCTTCATGAGGAACTTTACTTTTCCCCAGTGTTCGAGTGGTGCATTTCGGTAGCAGCAATACCCAACCCATCAAAATTCCTCCGCGTGTGTATGTAACTCCCTCGTCCACCCCACCGCTAACTATGTCTGGTAGATGAACCTTGTCTTTCTTCGGTCACCCTCGTTCATTCTTTTTGGATTATCGTTGTTCAGCAATAAACGGCCCGGTACATGATACGCCTGGGGCTTCAGTCGAGTGTGGACAACCGCTGAATGAAATGGATCCATTTCTTGGAAACTATTGGACTGAGTAAGCGATCACAGTGTGTATGAGTGAGGCAAAAGGATTACTTCGCAGGATTGCATCCTTCATGATATTCAAGTTAATCTGTGGGTATAACAATATTGTATACCTCACTGGACAATGAATGAAACTTCTTACTCTATTTACATTATACTACTCATGAGTAGTTCATAATTCAGCAGATATTTCTGGTCGCACGGCTCCGCTCTTTCCGTAGACCCATCGCGCGGCAGAACAACGGGATGTTTGCAACCGAATCCATTGCATTCTGCCAGGCACTATGCCGCCACTGAATGATTTATTGTCTGGAAAGCAACTATAAAATTCTCTTATGGCGAATGGATGAAGCCTGCGGAGCATTTTCAGTTTGGGTTCATTTCGGTCCTTGGACTGTACCGAACAGGATTCAACTGACGGGACAGATAGTACGGACCTGTCGGATACATCTATTAAGTGCATACGAATCACTCATTAGCAGAGTTATGCAACAGTGTTCTTTTCACTACCCGAATTGAAGCAGACTTGATTAAGTGGGCCCAAGTCCCAATCCAACCGTTGCATTGTTTTCAAAACAAACCCAATTAAAAAACGCGCCTAAACTATGTTAGGTCGTTCACTGGGAAACTGAGCTAGCTAGCAGAAATAGTTAGCGGAATTTCCGACCAACGACCTCCCAATACATGTTTTCCAGTCCCGAAATGATATTGTTCTGTCAATCGACCTGGTACAGAAGAGCTCAAGATTTTTAGCGTTCAGACCCATGGCCAGAGCAAGCTAAAACCGACGAAAAACTTGGATGCAGGCGGAATAGGAACTGGTAGAAGAAAATGAAATGTTACGCAATGTCTCCAGGCCCTTACCGCAGTCCATCTTACAGGATGGGAACCAGCCCTGCACTTGGCTGGAGCGGAAGACAGTGCCGTCCAAACTGTTAGATTCTATGCAGATGATCCGACCCAGTGTTTCCGTTTGAAGCAACGCAAACGTTCATGGCAAGCTGGCACGGGGACTCCTCTCTTTTTTTCATCGGGTAGCTATGTTTGAACAAATTTAAGTGACACTACGGCGACCAGAAATCATAATTCTAGGCTGGTATTGCAACGAATGCTGACGACGGAGCGCAACAATTCCAAATCCAGGACCTAAACAGGTGTTTACGAACTGCACTGCTCGTTGAGAATGATAGGATTTTGATAGTCTCAAGTACAGCACGAGTTACAGTTTATTCGAAGAAACCAATCGGAGTAACTTCACCTCAACTTCTATGTTCTCCAGGAAAGACCAACACATGTTTGGTAGTACCGAGTAGCCTAGCCAGAGTAAGGCAAGCTGAGATATCCTTCCGGTGCATAGCTGTCATGCTACCAGGAAACACTAGGCCTGAAATACTTCCGCGTTGGCCAAGCACAGACAGGAGCAGTCGAGACGCTGAGCTTGGGTTCGAACCACGGACATCCGCCCCAACCGTTGAGCTCGGGGCATACAGCCGCTAGATGAGAACAGCGGTGGGACGGCAGGATCACAACGAACGCTTTTGCTGTGTGGTACAATCAAATGATTTTACGACCATACCATTCAGCAAGAATTCAATCACTGACATTGTCTGTGAAGTCGCTTGTAGAGCTGTAGGACCTGAGTGCGTTCGCTGGGTGTCGGATGTTCCGTGTGAACAGATACTACCATGTGGCACAGGTTGCCCACAATGTCATTTAGCTAAAACTGGCACAGCCACGGAAAGCCTGAACTGATCAGGGGAAGTATGCGACCCAGGTGAGACTCTGTACATCAGAAAAGTTCGCCCTAGGAAGGACGAATGCTGAACTAGGTTATCTAGGTTGACTAGTAGCGAGTACTTGGGTTTCTGTTTGATCAAAGCAACGTGATAATGATGCTTTTGCCAACGACATGACCCTTACCATTTGTGGTCGGATGTTGCTGCTGGCAATCTCACGTGATGGTGAGAAATTGTTTCAACAGCTACCGATAAGGGTTAATGCATCAGTGTCAAAATATCGGCAGCTAGTGAAGCGAAAATAGTACTGAGTAGAATCACGTCAGTCTATCGGCCCACTTATCCAACGTTTTGGGATGCATATGATACGAATAACCCAGTGATTGAGGCTCCATTGCTAGAGATGGTCACGCCTCCATTCGGATATACTGTCCTAGACCTTGGTACCGGAACACGTACGGCGATTGTTTTCGTGAAATTTTGATCCCCCCAATAAGTAAACCTCCGCCACTACTGAATTTTAGTTAGGAATCCTAGCTAACCTCTGGCTAAGGATCCCACCGTGATGGTGTTCTGAGTGTCAAAAAAGCGTCAGTTCTCTTTCACGATCACCGCTTACAACCGCCCCATTCAGTTTGACTACTGTTCTATATGACAGCCAACCACCGGTATCCACTGTAGGTCTCATGCTCTTCCACTTCAAGGGTTTTGAATAATCGATCTTCGGTCAATCTACTTCAGTGGAAGATTTTCACACCTGACAAAAATTTCAGGTATTATTGGTTACTGTCGCCGTTCTAGCATAAATGCTTTGAATGTGTTCCCTTTTTTCTAATCACATCATGGGAAGGTCTGTGAGTGAAATTAGCGCTTCCTCTGAAACTGAAACGCCGAAACGATACATGCACCGAGAGGGCAAATTTTCTTCCCTGTCCCTACTGTACTTTGATATGGGTCAGCGTCATTAGTAAACCCGTTGTGTGACCTTCACAAAGGATCAAACGTTGAGTTGCTGAAGCTTCGCAAGCTGGCTTCGAAAACACGGCAAATAAGTCCCAAAAACTTGTTGCACAGAAGAAAACGATCGCGTCAAGTTCCCGTAAAAAATATTCAAACAATTAAGATAATGGCTGCACACCCTCCGTACAACTGGTTGTAACAAAGTTGGCTCCCTTGTGAAAGAGGAGGGCGGGGGAAAAGGCGGAAAGTCAGACGTAATAGCGCTGTTAGATGTGAACGAGGGATCCGAGGAGAGTGTAATCGACTGGGGTGGTTGGTAACTGTACAACATGGGCAAAACATCATCGGGACAGCATGCAAAAGTTAGGCTGAATACGGAACAAGAGAATATCACAATTCGCCCTATGGGGCCAAGGGGAAATTAGCAAGCGAAAATCATTCGAAATCGCTACCCGCATCACCCCAATCAGTATCTGCAGACGGTGGTGCAGCAACGGCCGCGGCGGGTTTCGACTTCATCTTGTTCAACTGTAAGTTTGCTATTTCCTGTTCTAGTTCCGCATCTAGGGTGTCGTCGTCTGGTTCCTCAGCATCCCCATTTTCTTCTTCTTCTTCCTCCTCCTCCCCCTCTTCGTCATCATCATCATCTTCACCATCACCTTCATCGTCAACTTCCTCCTCTTCTTCATCGGCGTCCTCTTCTTCCTCCTCATTGTCCTTCTCCTCAGGAGTGTTGTCTTCTTCCAGCGTCAGCTTGGCGTTGTTCTGTTGTGATGCGACCACTTCGACGGTTGGCGAAGCCTTTTCCACGTTTGCTTCACCGCCTAATGTGTCGCCATTGAGCAATACATGTGAGGGTACACTTTCGAACAGTGGTTCTGGTTTGGTGTGAAGTTCGGACAAGACATCACGCTCCCACATGGCGGGTTGAGATGGATAAGTGGAGGCAGGTAAACGAGATCTTGCGGTGCGCTCCATCTTCATTCGTTTTTCGGCCGCCAAAGCATTCTAAAAAAGAGACACGTCGGAAATATAGTTCGTTGGGTAAAAACTAAATTCGAAACACTGTCCAACATTGCCCAACTCCACGTGAACCGGTACGCTACGTATAGCTGGTGATTTCTGTGAGCAAGGCGGATTATGAACAACACACGTGTGAATGAAGTTCATGGTGCATCCTGTGAGCAAGATAGGAATTCCGGTAACAGGAACTACCTTCAAGAATCAGGCGGAAAACGGAAACCTATCGCAAACGCTTCACAGGGGCCACCAAATTAGGCGAGCAAAAGTCAGTGACGCAAAGCTGACCACTCAAAGAGCCAGTGGATGACAGGATATTAGGAGGCAGAATATCCTACGATGGCTTGATGGGGGCTATCGACTGAACCAAGCCGGATCGTCCGACCGGGTTTCGGCCCATCGCACGCAGTCCTCGACAAGTTTATTCGGTGATACCCATGTTTCTCAAAACGTATTTTAGCCGTACGTGTCCGAGTGAGTAGCGTCATATATTTTCTTAGTTGAAGTAAACTACACCGCTGATGAGCTAACTGCGTTTAAGAGGTAGAGGATTTAGCTACCGTCAAGAAGGATTCCTGTAGTTTTTTTCAATAGTGATTAAAAGTTGCCGAATGGACTGACTTGGCCATACACTACAGAACTTAAGACTCGGCAGTGATTGTTCGGCTATCAATGACAGAGATCTCAACATATGATTGATCATAAGGCCGGGTGGAATGGACGAACTGAGGGAAGAACACAACCTTACAAAACGAACGAAAACACACCTCCATTCCGGGAAACAAATTCGGATACTCCTGAGGATTAGCCAACGCCTGAGCAACCTTTGAGCTGGACTTGGTAGTCTTTTTGAGCCATTCGCGCCATAGTTCCACAATCTCCGGCACACGGCTAGGAAGGTACGTTCTTGCAAAAAAGGCGGCCTCTGGTAAGCGATCTGCCTTGACAAGAAGCTGTGAAAAATGATTAAAAAACAGGGACGTGGTGCGGGGAAATCAACATCATTATCCTCATCATTGGTAGCAAATGTTGTTAAGTTGTCAAAAACCGTGGAGGATAAGTTCTAAAGCCCTAGGGAAAACGGACATGCAAGTGGATGGATAAACGAGAACACACGACTGCTCATGCCTCCCATCCTACACCGTTTTTTCTCAAGCCACCTGCTCTGCTTTGGAATCTCTTCAGCAGACATCAGCTGTGAGTATGTCGCCGCTCACATAAGCAAACTCGGATACGCTGTCCAGCAATAACAGGAAGACAAGTAGGATCAAACCAATTTGCTCAGCCTAAAAAATTAGGAACAAACAGCAGCAGCTGAGAAGGGCATATGTGAGGTTTTTCACAAATGGTTCAGCTGTAGCATCCTTTGTGGGCCTAACTGCTATGCCACCAGAAGGAAGTACGAGGGCTGGGATACTGCCAGGTTGTCCAAGCCCAGACAGGGAAAGTCGAGAGGCAGAAGTCGGGTTCGAACCACGGACCCTGCGGTTAGCCGTCTAGCCCCCAGATGCTGATTGGCTGTTCGAGATGCAGCACTCCCAACGTTATGAGGAGAAAAGCCACACATAATTCCACAGTCGGCGGAAGAATACCGCTATAAAACACAAGGCACAATGAAGTGGAAAGATGTTATCAGGTTGTGGCCCGAGGATTCTGGGAGACAGCAAAAGAAGACTGTTCGTATGGTGCCACCGTCACAGTTCGGGTCAGGGGTAGAAAAATTCACAAGATTGGAGAAACACTTGAAAATAGAAAAGCATCCCAAATCCCACCCAGATGGATCAATGACATTTGGATGAGCAAGCCATTGGAAGTTATGAAATTACCAGAACTGGTGTCGGACTGAATGGATTGCATTCACAACTGATATTTACTATTGTTATGCAAACGAGTAGCTGCTTACCTCCAGGCATCCTTCCAAATCTGATAGCAAAAACCGAGCTAAAAACGCCACATTGTCCTTCGATTCCGTGGAGGCCTGGTCACCGATCCACTTGACCATCTGCCCATTACCTGACGACGACGCCAGTAGAAGTAGGCTTGCATAGTCCTTGATACGGGCCAAACACTCCTCAGCGAGATCAAACTTACACGATCGGCAAGCTGCTTCAGCCAGCTAAGAGGGATAGGGAGATGTAAATCGGCATTATAGGATAGATGTCTGCCTAGCACACTGTACTAGAATAACATGTTTGGTGTATCGCACAAATTGCAAGGAATACAGAACACGGATTGCCAATTTCCAGTTGGGAGCGGCCTTGCGCTTCCGATTCGGGAACCGGCATTAATCCTTCACTACCCCCATAAAGCGTGAACGACTGGGGAGATATGATGGGCACAATTATGGGCATCATCATCACTGTCAGCTGTAAGAACCGCGTACTGCTCGTATACTGGTTGTAGCTGCCACAGTTTCGTTCAC